AAAAAGTTAAGAACACTCAAGAACATAAAAACATGAAAATTCCAGAAATTTCAGCAACTTTTGATGATTTCTTCAAGCAAATTTCGCTGCAAACGTGCTTTGATACCAATTGATAGTCCACTTCGATTAATCTTCAAGATAAACCTTCATGATTCAATGGCAGATTTTGATAATCTTGTAAGAACATAATAAGAAGATGAGASAGAAAGTCAACTCTGGTCAAACTCTATTATACGTATGAAATCTTACAAATGAGCTCACCTACTTCTAATTACAAAGACCACCTTCTATTTATATGGTCAACATACTAAACAATAGTCAAATTTAGAACTTGGTTTTGTGAATTGAACATTTGAACATATGAAAGAAAGGAAGAAAAGAAAAAAAAATACAAGTTGTAGGTATCTATATGAAATTAATGGAAGATGAATTGGTATGTAAGCTAAGATAGAATGGTTGTATATACACACACACACATGTATGCTTGTATACATATATATATATGTATGTATGTATGTGTACGAAATATAGAAGTACATGTTAAACCAAAGTCGTAAGTGAAGATGTTGACTCATGGATCGTTAAAGTAAATAGTTGTCAAGGGAACCACTCGACTACCTCGGATTATCGTAGGTTGTGATGTCGTATTTTATATTAAAATTAAAATTATGGCATTGGATTTGTAAGGAAGATGCTAGCCACTTCAAAGATCGGTTTGGCCTACGCCATGTATTGTGAGTTATACATGATTTTTTTTTAAAATGGTTGCATGCCTTATTTATAATTATCCACAAGCTTGATTGAAGTTTCTCGAGATTTTTGATATGCTATATATGTGTGAAAAGTTCGATATTTTTATAATATGTGTTTTGAGTACTTGTGTGTCAATGGGATGTACTACGGTATGATTTTATAAAGACGAGCATGCTTTGTGAGCTTGTCTAAGCCGTAAGTGTGGACATGCTGTGTGAGTTCGCCAGGTAATGTTGTGTGAGGTAGACATCTCCCATGATGCCGTTACTTTGTGATGTAGACACGCACTATAATATCTTTATTTTGTGAAAAGTATTATTCTCATCAAGGCATGCTAAATTTATGAAGCTTCGTGAAAATTGTTCCTTGTAAAAGTTGTTGTTCGTGCATGAAAACCGTGGATTCACTAGGCCTAAGGCTCACCCAAAACTCTTTTAAAACTTTTTCACCCAAGCGGCTATTTGAGTGGAAAGAAAAGTGGGATAAAGAGAGATAAGGATTAGCTCTAAAGAAAGATATGTGCAGATCAAGGCATTGTTATATAGAGCAAAGTTATGTTCCTCAAATTTGTAATTTTAGATGATGATATAAATTGTAAGATTTAAAATTTTATTTCCACTGCAATGTAAGTGTTTGATTTTGGGATACTCATTATGATATATTGAAGTATTCGAAATTTTGGGATGTTACAAGTGGTATCAGAGAAAAGTTTAAGTCAATTAGGTTATTGAAACCTAAACTTAAACTGAGAATGGAAGATTTTATTATTGATAGATGTGTGACTAAAGATTAATTTATAGTGATGAGAGTGGTGATTTAAGTTAATTTGGGGTTAGTCTTAAACTAGATTAAAGTAGAGAAGTCGTTAGATGGTTTAATATCTTTGGATATAATGACATTGGTAGAGATGTGTTTATGCAAAACACATGGTAAGATGAGATAAAATAGATGTATAGTGGTGTTGGTGGATAAAGTTTTGGTGACAAACTCCACTAATTTGCTTTAGCGGGGAAAGCATATGTTTGGCTTTGAGAATAGTAGGAACTCAAAGTATTGATGATATAGTGAGTTGATTCATCCCATATTTGAGTTGGGGGATCATTTCTTATATCAATTGGCGGAAAGATAAAATAGTCAGATATGAGATTAGCAACGAGATTATTCGTGTAATCAATGATGGCAACAGATTCATGGTAAGAACTGATGATCTTGATTGGATGCACGACTAGTTAAAGGATTTTTCAATCGAGTTGGAATGTCGAGATCATATGTAAACCCTATGAGAAGATATAAAGTTTCTCACATGATTAGTTTCTTAAAGTAAAAGACACCAAATTAGTATGTGAAATGGTCTTAGAATGTAGAAGACTATGATTGATTAATCTAGTAGGACCTTGGGGGTTCTATTATCCTCCATAGGCATCTCACGAGTGGTTGGAAGATGATATTAACTTATTTCATTTTATGAAATTGTTAGTAAGCATGTGTTGCATTGAGCAAGATAAAAAAGCAAGAAGGTGGTAAAAGAAAGTGTTATTTGTAATAAATTATCAGGTTTAGTAAGTAAGAAATATTTTATGGTTAAATAATAAGGTTTATCCAAGCGTATAACCTCTAAGCCATAAAAAAGGGGCCTTGGAATTGTTCCCATAGTTATAGCTAGAAAGACATCAAAGCTAGAATAGTATAAAATTGCATGAGAT